CGCGGATTCAAATTAGACCTCGCCATCCCTGGGGGGCTGCGATCTGCGAAACTGTCGCCATTTTCGAGGCCTGCTGGGGGGCCCAGCACAGTGAGGGCCACGCGCGGATTCAAATTAGACCTCGCCATCCCTGGGGGGCTGCGATCTGCGAAACTGTCGCCATTTTCGAGGCCTGCTGGGGGGCCCAGCACAGTGAGGGCCACGCGCGGATTCAAATTAGACCTCGCCATCCCTGGGGGGCTGCGATCTGCGAAACTGTCGCCATTTTCGAGGCCTGCTGGGGGGCCCAGCACAGTGAGGGCCACGCGCGGATTCAAATTAGACCTCGCCATCCCTGGGGGGCTGCGATCTGCGAAACTGTCGCCATTTTCGAGGCCTGCTGGGGGGCCCAGCACAGTGAGGGCCACGCGCGATTCAAATTAGACCTCGCCATCCCTGGGGGGCTGCGATCTGTGAAACTGTCGCCATTTTCGAGGCCTGCTGGGGTTGGAGGGCCAGCGCCACGCGCGGATTCAAATTAGACCTCGCCATCCCTGGGGGGCTGCGATCTGCGAAACTGTCGCCATTTTCGAGGCCTGCTGGGGGGCCCAGCACAGTGAGGGCCACGCGCGGATTCAAATTAGACCTCGCCATCCCTGGGGGGCTGCGATCTGCGAAACTGTCGCCATTTTCGAGGCCTGCTGGGGGGCCCAGCACAGTGAGGGCCACGCGCGGATTCAAATTAGACCTCGCCATCCCTGGGGGGCTGCGATCTGCGAAACTGTCGCCATTTTCGAGGCCTGCTGGGGGGCCCAGCACAGTGAGGGCCACGCGCGGATTCAAATTAGACCTCGCCATCCCTGGGGGGCTGCGATCTGCGAAACTGTTTTCGAGGCCTGCTGGGGGGCCCAGCACAGTGAGGGCCACGGGCAGATTCAAATGAGACCTCGCCATCCCTGCGGGGCTGCGATCTGTGAACCTGTCGCCACTTTCGAGGCCTGCTGTGATCCCCCTTTTCGAAGTGGCTAGGAGTGCTCAGGAATTGTAAATCATCAGCTTTATCAAGCCCTTTTCCTGTAGCCAGTGTCCTGCGAGTCTCCCGAATTCCGTCTGCAGACATATGTAACCCTCGCTCCGTCATCGCCCCCTTATAAAGTATCCTAAACTATTTGCGCCCCGCGTTTGCGCAGGGGTTGGGTACGTCGCCAGGGTAATTATTCTGAGATTCTTGAGTCTGCCTGGGGCCGCCCCGTGAATCGCGCCAACAGGGGCGGGGCTCAGCCGCGGGGGCCCCTCGGCGCACCGCACGCCTTAATTCATCTTGGGTTGCAGGTGCCCAGCCCTCGTAACTTGATCAACCCAGAGGAGTGGGTTCCTGCGAGCGATGGCGACAGTCCTGCCGCGCAGCCGTTGGAGGATCTAGATGGCACCATCGAGTCAGGTCAGTGGGCGGGGGCCTCGGAGGTCTACCTTGGGAACGGCGCTGAGCGATGGGGTCCCCTCGCAGCATGCGGGTGGGCTCACAGGGCTCTTAGGCAAAGAAGGCGGGGCTGACCTGGCCGCCGCGGTGAGTCGCGGCTTGCGGCGGTGTCGGGTCAAAAGAGGGAAGTGCGAGCGCGCTCTCGCTCCTGGCCCCCAGCGCCAGCGCTGCCTGAGAGATGTCGAAACGCCGAAACACAGAATGTGGCGATGTTCCTGCAGTGTCGATGGTGAGTTTGCCCCCCCCCACGCCTCTCTCCTCAGACATGATCCCTCCATCCACCGCCTGAGCAGCGTCTCGTCGAGCATCGCATGCGCGAGCCCTCGGAACCCTCCCCGGAGGCATTCACGGGGCCGGCGGCGAAGGGGGCGCTTGGTCTAGGCCCCCCGCGCTGCGCCGAATGGCTTTTGCTTTCGCCGGGCCGGGCGGCTCCGAGGGCGAGTTGCATTGGGGCCACGGGGCCGCGGGCATGGTCGAAGGCAAAGGGCAGACGGTCCCGAGGGCTGAGCTCGCAGGCGATTGAGGCCGTTCGTCACGTTGCCAAGAATGACGGCCTGACTCTCGCACGTGATCACGCGAACCATGTAAATTCCTACCATCAAGAACGGCACCAGACGCACCGCCTGTCCGATGCAAATATGCGGCGGGAGTGCTCGTGCCCTGTTTCTCTGCGCGCGGCTGAAACTCATTTGGCGTTTGGTCCCACCCACCCAGACAATGGCGATGGCAAGTTTCGCGGGTTTGGGCGCGCGTCGGTCGCTGAGCATGTTTACGTCAATCGCGCTGCGGATTTTCTTGTGGAGAAGCGCACTGGGTCTGCCCAGGCCCAGTCACATCTTTGCCGAGAGGTGCTACCCTTGAGGAGAAGGCGAAGTCCATCCTGCTGCGCGCGGCCCCACTCGCCGTTGCTTCTCGTCCGAAGGATCGCTCGCGCGTTGTCGCCAAGAGCCCTGTGGGTCGCAAAGAGAAGGCCCGCTGCCACCCTGTCCGCGGGCGCTGAAATCCCGCGCGCCAAGAGAACTGATCGTTAAGCGGCGCTGCGAAATCAGCGCGGTTTGCGGTTGCGCGGGCGACCGGCGCGGAGCGGCCAGAGAAGATCAGGTCGCCGCGGAAAGCTCGCCGGAAAGCAAGGAGGAATCGCGGCGAGTTGCGATTCCGACGGGTCTGCGTAGAGCGCCCTTCACGGCCCGCGCCAGTGAAGTCGACCATCTATAGGGCCCAAACTGCAGACGGAGAAACATGGGGACGGCGGTGCCGACCATTTTGCGAACCACGCCATGATGCAGAGAGGTCGAGGAACAAACGGTTCGATCCTCCCTGCGGCAGTCTTGATGCCAAGAGCGTGAGTTTTCTCATCCACGCGGACGGGGGCACTCGAGCTGACAGGTGCTCGGGGGCCGCGTGGCACACCGAAGTCCACACGTGATCGCACGCGAAGGTGCGTTAGACTTCTTGCCCAGACTTGTACGCGCACCAGGCGCCTGATCACCCCGAGGGTGGACCTATAGGTATGTCGTATGCGGCCACCACCGTTGTGCCCTACGCCTCGGGAATGAAAAGGAGGGGGGGAGGAGCAAGAGGGGAAGGATGAGGAGGAGGAGAAGAAGGAGGGGGGGAGGGGGAGAAGGGAGGAGGGAAGGGATGCGGAGGGAGGGAGCGGGCCGCACGCGCGTGGTGGTTCCGCACGCGTAGGTCGGATTCGTTCCAACACAAATTGGGAACAATCATGTCAACACGTACGTGCTCATAGACAGTCACGAAGCTGAAACAAGGACTGCGTTGGGTTCGTAAAAGGGCGCAATGTTCCTTAGGTCATCCCGTGGTTGTTGTTTTGGCATTCCTTCGCGCGGCGCGAAAAAGGGTTTCGATCCTTATTTCGCGTTCCGTATGTCAGCGCCTTTTCTGGACAGCTGAACAATTACTGTGACCACGCTTGTCCTTTTTATGTTTACGCGCGCAAGTGTTATCATCATGGTCCGCATCATGAGTGCCGTCGTCATCGTCACCATCATCACCACCACCGTCGTCAGCATCATTGGTCGTCACTCATATTCCCCTTACTCATCATCACCATCGCCGTCATCATCCTCGTTACCACCGACTCCAGCATCGTTATCGTTGTTGCCATCGCCCTCGTCAAAATTTTGCGCGCGCAACTCCTCATCATCCTTGCCAGCACCATCGTCATCATCATCGCCAGCGACATCCTTTTTATTGTCATGCATCACCTTGGTTATAGCACCGTCAACGTCGTCGTCTTCGATGACCTTCACCGTTGTTGTGAACATCGGGGGGTGGAGGGGTGAGATCGCAGTGGAACGGAACCCCCCCCACAGGTAAGTCGGTTTCGGTTTCGTGTTCGCGTCGCGCTTGCGGGCGAGGCGAAGCTGCTTTGGCGCGCGACAGGAAAACCCCGCCGTCGCTAGGGCGATTCGGATGCAGCGGACCGCTTCTCCATCCCCGGTGGGCGCCGGGTGGCCCGGGGTGTCCCGCCGTGGTGTTTTGTGGTGTCCCGTTGGTGTCCCTTCGGTGTTCCGTCGGCGGTGGGTGGTCGGTGGCTGGGGTGTTCCTCCTTGGTTTCGATAGTGGAGTCGACAGTGAGGTTGATTGTGACGTCGGTTGTGGGATTGATCGGTAGATCGGTAGAATCAAGCAGTGGCGAAGCGCCCTAGCTTGGTTATAGGCCCAGCAGAGAATGTTTTCATACCCTTCTGTGGTTTGCACGGAATGCTCTTAGAACCATCCTGGCTGACACACAGTTAATCGTCGGTTCCAAGGAAAATATTGGAAATATGGGAAATGGGGGGGATGACAAAAAATGCGCAAAATATTTGAAAATATCGGGAATCCTTGGATTTGTGTCCATTTATTTGTGCCCCTGGGCCCCATTCAATTTTTGTTGTTCATAGAACGCGTGTGGGTTCTATGACAATGTCGTGGTAGGCTTATTAAAATGCCTGAACGGTCGGTCCCTGCTCAATGTAATAATCGATGTTGACATCAATAGTGAGATCGATCGTGAGATCGAAAGCGAGATCGACAGTGAGAACGCAGGTGATATTGAGTCGCGACGCAACATCGTCGTCACGCGTCGTCGTTAACTCCAGGACGCGTCACCAGCATCGTCATCATCACACCGCATTTGTCAGCAGTTCGTTCTTCCCCCCCACCACCCCACCCCATTATCACCCGAATGGAGGTCCTAGAGGTACTTTTCGTCATCGTCATCGTCGCTGTCGCCGCACAGTTGAGTTTGCCAGCAAGCTTCGGGTGGGCACGAGCAGTAGAGGTGGTAGCGCGCGGAGGCGGTCAACACTGGCATCCGCCAGGACCATTACATCGCATACATTGATTTGGAAGGCCTTGGAAAAGTCTAGGCGGAGCGCCCAGACCGCCCTACCGACGTGCCTGCTGGAGGAACGCTCTCTGTTTGGGAAACGAGTGGAGCAGGATGATGCCGCGGATCTAGTGTCGAGGAGGAGCAGCAGGACGAGACACCGGTTGAGCCACGGGCATGAAAGACAGGGTGGGGGCTGCCCAG